CTTTGACTGGGGCTTGGGCTGTTTTTATTTTTTTTTTTTTTTTTTTTTTTTTTTTATCCCAGAGTCTGTCTTTAACTTACAAAAAGCGGCAACTTTTTTTTTTTTTTTTAAAATCCGGATTTAGCCATACCGACTGATGGCTCCTCCCCCAGCCTTATATTTTATTGAGCGGTGACATTGAAAAAATTGTAGAGTAAAATCCAACTTTTTTTGGTGTTCTGCTGCAGAATGCTTTCTGCAGGGAACTTTCTGCTTCTATTGATTGATTGATTATTTATTGTTGTGCGCGTTTCAAGGTGGGAGTGACTTACTGTCAAATCATAAAAGCTGCTTCTAGTGTCATTTCCCAAAGTCACTTTTTGGAGAGGTGCCCCTCACCTGTGATGTCAGGGCCCTTATGAAACGTACGCATTAATTTATGGAAAGCTATGCGAGAGCTGGAGAGTAGATGTGGTAGAGAAGTGCAAGTCCCAATTTGTTGTTGTTTCTCCAGAGCGTTTTGCCACACTCAGTCTCCAGTGGATAACATAAGGAAAGCGCTCATGAGGTTCAGCTGGTCTGTCTTTTTTCTTTTTTTTTTTTTTTAATAAATGTGTTATTAGCTTTTATTTATTTGTTTATTTTTTAAAAAAGACCCACATGTAAGTTTGCCCCCTGACCTGATACGGCGTTTTTAGTATTGGGTCAAACAAAAGGTACCAGGCGTGTGTCGCTTTAGGCCCTGTTTTTCTTCCTGCAATCAAGGCCGTGCAAAAGGATGAAGTTTTGGTGCCTCTTACTTTCTTGTAATTTTAAGCCTCAGCAACCGTGCAAGGAAGGGGTGGGGAGGAAGGACACTGGTAGAGGTCATTATTGCTTTGGTACGGATCGGTCTGAAGGGGGTCGTGTTTTGGGAAGGGAAGGATCGCGTTGGTTTAACTGCCTGGCAGAGAGCTGCTGCTGAACGTATCGCATGTGTTCGTTGCTGTAACTGTCTTTTATAGTGCGTGTTCTGTATCTTAAAGGTTTTATTTTAACATGAGCATGGTGTTAGGAGGGATCCTGCCTCGGTGCTGGAACATCTTGTGTGTGCCTGTGTGTATGAGATTATAGTTGAAAAGAAGAAGCAGGGAGCAAACATGAGTATATGATTATTATTTTTTTTCTAGAATGTAATTTATATGAAAACAAAAAGCGCAAAGCTCTTGTAGAAGCAGGTGGAATCTAGTGTTTTAATTCGACCTAAAAATTCTGCTGGGCTTGTCTGAACACGTAGCCCATGCTTTCACATGCCTTAATAATTTGATTTTAGGTTTAATCAGATATGGTAAGATAACTGATTCCACTGTGCTCCTGAGATTAAACTCACCAGACTTTTCATGTACAGCTATATTCTCTATGTATTTTTAAAGATAAATTTAGATAAGAAGAACAAAGGCAAACAGTGTGTTGAACGAAGGTTTAAAAAACAAAATATAAATCATGGGAGGACACCCTGTCATATTTCTGACTGTAATGAGGTCCTCCCCCAGCTTTTTTCCCGTATCGCAGCCTAGTCCCTGCAATGTATTAATTTGCTCTTCTCTGGGGGAGGGGTGAAAAGCTTGACCAGGACAAATTTGCCTCAGTTTTGATTGTGTGATAATGATCGAATCAAGCTAAATAAGAAATTGACCTTAGAATCAGTAAGGCAGCTTAAAAGCAAAACATGAAAGTAGCCAGGTTCCCTTTCAGCCCTTTATTTGTAGACATATTATAGTAACTGTTCTTTAGTATAACATAGCATTTGACTCTGTTTCAACGTTCAGCACAGGAGGCAGATCGGTTGGGTATTGGCATGGAAACGTCGCTCTTGTTTACAGTTACGTTAAAAGCTTTGTTTAGGTAATGGCCATTCATATCAGAAATAGTATTATAGTCATTTCCTAGAGGACTTGTAGATACAGTAAGTAGAATTGTACCTAACTAACTAATTTTTTTTTGGTAGAAGTTTTTTTTTTTGTTGGTTTTTGTTTAAATAGTTGACAGGGATATGCAAAAGGTACGGATTTGCCATGTTGATTGCTACTGTTCCTCTTCCAACACTGATGGTGTTTATCCAAAAGGTTTTGTGAAGGAAAATTCAGTTATTTAAGACGGGCTGTCGCGATGCAAAGAACTCCATGCTCTTTGAACTGACCTTCAAAAATTAATGTGTTGCTTTAGAGTTTAATGGTTCTTCCAACTTTATACCAGTGGGACTTCGCAGTGTGATGTCCTTCTGGTGGGATTGGTGTTCTTTATTGAGAAAACTTTCACTTTTGATGCAAATGTAGAAGTGTGCGTATTTGCCTCCACCTTTGGGTATCGCTGTGGAAAATCCGTACCTGTTGTATTTCCCGAGTAGACAAATGCCTAGTCAGTGCTGAGTATATTTGTAGATAATGTTAATCTCTATGAAAAGGTTAGCTTTCTAGATAAAGAATTTTACTTTTTATGCTTTTTGAACAATAAAGTGGCATGTAATCACTCATTTCTCAGGTGTGTCCTAAGAAAGATACTACGTTTGTATCTGATGTAGACAAATCAGTTTATCAGTTGCACATCAAATGTTTGTGCCATTTCCAATTTTGACAAATTAATTGAGTAAAACTGCTTTTTAGGAGAGGCCCCTGGTTATTTATCAGTGACAGGAATATTTATCACCACAGGAATAACAATACCAAATGGACATATCTCCTTTTCCTAATCAGAGTTAGCTTGAAGGGGGGGGAGGAACCCATCAAAACTCAAACCCAAACTATGAAAGAAAGCCTCTGCTTCTAAGTATGCCGTAACACGGTCAGGATTAGTTTCATCAGTTTGTTAAATAGTCAGAGACAGCACTGAGTGAAGTCAGAAGTTGCACAGGAAAGGTGGGATTTAGTCCTTTAAAAAAAACCTTTTCCAGACTCTTCGTTTTAGAACCTGTCTGCATGCAGGTGCTGCTAAAAACAGACGTGAAATCAGCAGCACGTAGATATTTTATTGCACCCATTTTAAAAGATGCCAATTTAAGAAGGGCTGTTGTTTAAAAAGTATGGGTTTTATTTACATCCAGACATACATCTGAAGTGGTGTCTTTTTGTTTTTAAGTAATTTTTGAATGGTAGACTAGAGTCCCTTTTTGAAGATGACCCATGTGGAAGTTGTTTTTAAAATTGCAGAATTAGCGTTTTGGAACTGCAGGGCGGACACGCTTTCTAACTTATGCAGCGCAATGGGAGTCAATGCTGCATCTTAAAACAAGGGAACATGGGGTAAAACAAAGATTTTTTTTTTTTTTTTTTCTTTTTTTCTTCCTTTTAGTCTCTGTGGTGGTGTGCTTTATTCAAGAATGCTTTAGGTAACTCCTTCATGGAAAATCTTTTTTAAGAACTTGGTTTCTTCTGGTTTAAAATGCCTGTCTGTTCCGTTTGTGTCTTCCCACCCCTTCCCATAAATGCCCCTTCATAGTCTTTCATTGCTCATGTATGTTCTTTGGAGGGTGAGCAAACCAGATCAATTTGGCACATTGTTATGGAGGATGATCTTTAGTCCTTCTAATGTTTTAATTTTAGTCATTGAAATGTGAATAATTTGACTTTGTGTTTTGCATTTCTTTTTTGTGTGGTGTTGCTAGTCAGTTGACAAAACAAAGCAGAAAAATAAAAAAACCAAAGTAACCCCAAACGCAACTGAAGGAAGGTGCAGGTGTCAAAAACAGGTTAAGATCTTGATCAGGAATGCTGGCCGTCATTCTGCACGACCTCCAGAGTGTGCAGATAATGTTTAGCGTGCAGTTTTGGTTGTAGAGGCTGCACCCAGAGACTAATAGAGAGTTCCCAGAGCACCAGCGGAGATGGTTGTCCAGGAGGTGATGTAGGAGGTGTACAGAAGAGATGTTTTCTTCCTCTTTTCCCATTTTCCTCCCCCTGCCAACCCCCCCCAGTCAAACCCAGATTCTGACCCATCAGTTCCAGAGGAGTTCTAGGTGACCCAGTGTGCTGAATTACAAGCCTGAGAAATGAGGGATTAATAATTCAGTGATTAAAATATAAATATAAATTGACAACAAAAGCTATCTTGTTGATTTCTCCTTTCTTTTTCCTCAGATTGACCCTAAAGTTGCATTTCCCCGACGAGCACAGCCTAAGGTAAGTAGGAGGATCGATAATAGGATTTTAGGCACACAGAGAATCATTGTTGCCAGGCAGTTCAGGTTTCAAACAGGGAATTGGCAATGAAAGCTTTTAAAGCCGGAGTGCATGGCGTCTTAAGGGTATCAGCGTATGGCTGTGAAACTACAGGAGAGCTGCTTTGTGCGATATTACGTGTCTCCAGTTTAACCGTCTCCTTGCAGAGTCCCGGTCGGTCGTGGCTGGCTGAAAAGCAGAGCCTTCTCTAATTCTAGCAGGAGATTGTTGCTGCATTACATGCATTTGTTATGCTATTTTATGCAATATGTTTTGCATGGTGTTTATGAAGAGCGTTTGGATTAAGTGCAGACTTCAGGCTTGTTTTGAGCTGAGCTTTCAGTTCTGTGGTCGTGATGGATGGGAATATATCTCTGCCTTCATTGTTTGCAAATTTTCTTTTGTATAACTTCAGAGATGTCTTTGGAGACTAATAAGCACTGGGTAGCAACTTTCTGATGAAGCTCTGAACTCTGCAGGCCACGGGGTATTCTTTTGCAAGAAGAGTGAAACAATGAGCTTTAGGTCTCTGATCCGATCGGGCTGGCTGGAGAAGTGACCTCCTTCTTCCAGGGCACTCTTGCTGTAGTGCGGCCAGTTTCCACATTGGGACAAAGACGCTGTAGCCGCATGCAGGGGAGCTTCTGTCTGCATGCTTGCTCCGAAATATCCCTGGGTGCTGTTTCTTCTGGAGGAGTTGCTTGTAGAATTAGAAGTGGTTGTTGCTCATCAGGCTGTGCCTTAATGAAAACAACAGATCAGTTTCAAATCCAAACGTACACTTCTATTTGGAAAACTTTTGTAATTGACTTTTTTCTTTTTTTGTTTGTTTTTGAGAGTCTATTGGAATAGTTTAATTTAGCTAGTGTATGGCACTTGTATACACTCGAATCGTGTTACATTACTACAGTATTCTGTTTAAAAGCAGAAAGACAAGGCTGCAAAGTTGTGGATGCAAGTCAGTAAGGAAAAGTGGTTTAATGTTGGTGACATGGGACTACCTGAACAAATTCAGCCTAGCAATTTTATTGCATATAGCTTCTCATGAAAGCAAGCAGTTTAATAGCCTGTGGAACCATCGTGTTAAATACTGTACAAAATACGCATCTAGGAAAAACGATGTGTAATTTAAGAAGCCTAGGCACGTAGCAGGAGAAATGCTAGTGATTTCTCTAAAAGAAAAAAAACAACCACAAACACAAACCCCTCAAACCCAACTGCCTACTTGCAGAATTTTAAACCAAAGTAATGTAGTCAAATACTTAGAGGTTCTTTTCTTCACAGGACATATCTAATAACTAATTAGTGAATAATAGCGTGCCTGGCTTGCTTCTGTCCTATGCAAAGAGTTTATAGTTTGTAGGGTTTGTGGCTTCTGGATTATGTTGTTGGATTAATGCTGTCTTTAAGATACAATTTAAAGTTAGCAGGATTTTGAGAGGTTTCATAATTGAAGTATGAAGATGATCTTGCACTGTGACTGATGTTCCTTTTTCCCTTCCCAATACCTTTTAAAGGCTTATTTACATTTTAAACTGTCTTCAGTTACCAGTTATCTGTTTCTACAGTGTTATTTGTAAAGGTTTATAACGCTTCACAGCAGAGCTGTTAAGCTGTCCTGTGTGATTTCTTCTATAACAATTAAAAAAAACCAGGACATGTCTTATGCCGTGGATATTAGCATGTTAAATTTTCTTGTTACAGAATGCAAAACCAGGTCACTTCTACAAAGGGCATTTTGTTTTTCTCCACGTAGTTGTTTTTTTTTGGTTTGTTTTTGGTAACAGACATCTTTCAAGTGTGGGGCAAATCCTGGAACGTATGCTGGATTCCACTCTTAGCAGGAACTCGCTCTCTCTGGAGAGGTCAGCAGTGTCTGTTTCTGCTTTTTACACGCTTGTCCTTTCTAAAGTGTTGGGATTTCTACAGGGCAATCAAAAAAAAATCTCAAGATTGAAAGGAGCCTTATCAGGAAATTGGAGAAAATCAGATGCAACAAAGAACAGATTTGACATCAATTATGACGTACTATTCTGGATGGCATTTCATAATCTGGAATTTTTGTTTTGTTTTTTTTTAATTAGATACTGAATTAAGGTTTTGGACTTTAGTTGTTCATTTATCCCAGTTGAATTCCAAATGCTCAGCGTTAAAATGTGACTGTACTTTAGTCTAATTAACTAGCTAATGCTTGGGTCTGTGGAGATTAATGGCATTTAATGAAATGTCTCTGTCTCTAGGTGCAGGGGGAGTTTTTTTAATTTTTTTTCCTGAGTAGCATTCCTTCCTGGTGTGTTTAGCAAACTGGGGATTGGCCCTTTTTCCGTGGTCCTTCTGGCAGTGACTGGGTGCTGAGGTGCGAGCAAGGCTGGGCGCACATTCCCCCTTCTTGTACAGGCAGAGCTTCTGGCAGCGCTTCCCTCTATCCGTCCCCCTTCCTTCGGGAGCCCTTTTGACCTGCCTTGGCACGATTAACTCTGCAGCGGGCAGCGGCTGCGCTGGTGCTCGGGCTGCCTTCGCCTCCTTTGCCAGATCACATGCTCGCTGTGGTCTGCGGGGTCACGCTCACTTATTTGTGTGTGCACAATTATTTGCGCTCGTTCCTTCTCCCCCCCCGGATTCAGTTTAATTGGCTAGTCTTCCCCTTTCAAACCATAGCCCAGTAAAATGCTTTCTCTTGGGTTTTTTCAACTGCATCTCTGTGATTTGACACCTCTCTGGTGATGCAAATTGGTTAGTGAGCAAGAAGTGGCAGGTTGTGACAGCAGAGCATTCTTCCCTGAGTTTCTCAGAATGACCCTCGCAGAAAATCCTCGGTGGTTGCCTCCAGTGGATTACCCCGGGATGTGTAATCCTGCTCTCCTTGTGAAGTCCAGGACGACTTGAAGCTGTTGTTTTAGGAAATTTGCTGCAGGGGTTTAAACTTGTTGAGGTTCTCGTATATGGCTAACAGCGAGATGAAAAGAATATACGTATGCTTTCTCGCGGCTGCTGTTCCTTGATAAAAATCTGTCTTGCTTCCAAGTGCTGGAAGGCGCTCTGTAACAGTTGATCATTTATAACTCTGCTGACTTAAAAATCCTTAAAAAGCAGCAGTGATTGCGGAGGGGTGGAGGTAGTAGTATTGTATCCCCTTTTGAATACCGAAGACTACGATAATTTCACTTTTTAATGTACATAGCCTGTCAGTTCTGACATTACCTGCTTTATTAGGTTGGAGAAGCTTTATCAAATTCAGCATGTTCATTAGATGTTTTCAAATGTAAGCAATATCCACCCCCCCTGCCTGGGGGATTTATTTGAAAAACAAAGCAAACCAAACCTGGAGAGCAAAAGCACAGCAGCCTCAGTCCGTGAAGACGCTCCTTGGCTACAAAAATATTTTCGTGTGACTTAGTGGTGTAGAAATTTGGATGCTTTGTTACACAAAGCCATCTATGAAATAGAGGCAGATAAAAGTTCAGTCAAAGCGTGCAGTTCATGAGGCTGCCCACCGAGTTGTGTTTTGTGCTCAGGTTCCTCCAGGATGGGACCGAGGTGCCTGTTCTTCCCGGCACTTACCACAGGGGCAATAACGTGTATGGTTGGGAATTTCTCTGGCAAGTCAACAAGCTGGAACCACTTGTAGTAGCATTCAGCGGCGCTTATTAGCAGTGTGTATGTGACCTGCTGACTATGGTCTGTAGCCTTCTTCAGTAGCTGTTAAATAAAAAGGACGGGCCAACTACCGCTGCTAGCCACTGGAGCTGCTCCTGTGGCTCGGTGGCGTGGGCTGGGTGCTGGATGTCCTGCGTCCTGTCTGCTGATGACCCAGAGTAGATTGCATATTCCAGTTTGGGATCTAATCTACATGGGTTGGGTACAGTATTCTGGTGACCGTTTGGTCACAAAATAGCAAAAGGGCTTTATTTGGGGAATGAAACGTTTTGGTTGACAGTCAGGTGGTGATGCTGAATACTGATGTTTTTATTAGATGTGTTTTATTCTAACAGAGGACAGTGCGGAACCGATAACTGGTTCTGGTATCTCTGTGCTCTAGTCAGTCAGTGTATCTGGAAAGTGTGCGTACCCCTTCTGCGGACTCGCTGGCTTCCTGTCTGGCCGGGCACATGGGCTGTAAGAGGTGCAGTTGTGCACATCTGTTCCTCTTCCTTTGGCGAAAAACAGTGTGTCAACAACTCTCCTTTCATTTGAGTCACCCCTGCTTAAACCCATGTGAAGCTGGCTGTTCCAGAGCAGCAAATGGAGGGCATGCCCTTTTGGAATAACACCCAGGCTAACCTGGGATATTTTTTTTTAAAGCTAACCAATGGATTTGGATGTCTGATTCCAATTAAGTTAGCTGTGGGTGGGGTGTCTACGTCCCTTGGCTGCCTGATAAGCATGAGCCAGGGTAGCAGAGGGAGATTTTATTCCAAAGCAAATGATGGACCTTGAAAATCAAGAGTCCTGTTGTTTGTTTCCTCCCTTGCTTCTGCCTGTAAACTCCTCCAGGTTAGTCCCACTACTTCCCATCTTATTTTAAGTATTGGCTGGACTTTGAAGTCTTTTTCAAAAGAATGTGAACTGAACACCCGAGCAGAACTCAGGATTCTTCCTTTCCTGCCACCCTTCCTTCCCCACCAGGCTGTAACGAGCACCAAGGTCAGGCCTTTTCCCTGTTTTTTTTTTTTCTTTTTTTTTTCTTTTTTTCTTTTCTTTTTTAAAATTCCCCTGCAGGTCTGGATGAAGTAAGAGAGGATGTATTTCCTGCTCTTGGCATTGGGCATAAATGTGTACCTTAATAATATCGCTGTATCTTCTGCATACAGAGTAATATGAAGTCCTTACCAGGTGGTTATGAGGGATTTCTTTGTGTGGTTGATGGGCAGTGTTTGGGTGTCTTGTTCAGCCAGCCTTGATGTAGAACCCTTGTCCAGGGTAAGCTGCTCCTAGGATTTGTCTCCCTCTAGCATCGGGTG